GGCAGGGCAGAGCCCCCGGCCCCGGCTGCCCCCTCACGAAGCAGATTTGCCCAGGTTTAGGGGTGGATTTCCCCGGGCGGGTGCCGCGGCGCTGGGGCAGAGCCGGCCCTTGGTTCCCGGGGCTGGGGACGCCGCTGCCTCCCCTCCCTGGGACAGCCCAGCCTGCGACGCTGGTCAATTTGTAGTCTTAAAGAGCTGCATTCCCCTTCTCAAATTGCTGCCCGGGGGTCTTCCAGAAAGCGTGGGCAGAAGCGCTGGACTCTACCTGGGCATCCCCAGGAGGTGACGGGTGGTCACGGGTGGGTGGGGTGGATGGCTGGGAGCAGCAAAGCATGGACCACGGGCTGCAGAAAGCAGCTGGGCACGCCGGGTGCCGGGGGAGCAGGCGTGTGGGAGGGCAAGCAGGAGCTGGAAGACCTTTAGATGTGGAGGAGCAAACCTTCCCGGGGCAGAAGGAGGGTGGGCAGAGCAGCAGGAGATCCCAGCGCCAGCACCAGGGACCCCTCCAGTGTCTGCAAGTCAAAACGTGGCCAAAGAGGTGGGCTCTTCCAACCTGGGGCCGGGTCGCCATTGCACTACGAGCTGCCTGCGGCATAGAGCCACCATCCCAACGGCCGCTGGAGAGAGCCCCCGGGGCCGACAGAGCTGGGGGAACCAGCTTGGGGCAGAGTTTGCCGCACACTCGGAGCCTCTGGTGTGGGAGTGATCCAACCCAGAAGCTGCAAGGCCAGCAGCCCTACATGGCCGCTCGGTATGAGGCATTACTGAATAAGGACAAGGAGGAGGACCCGGCCTTTTCGCCTGTTCCCAGTTCAGGGCTCCACTTCCGGCAGCCTCGCAGCCGTCGGGGCTCTCAGGTGCCCCCTGGATTTACTCTGGCTGGTGGGGAGCCCATCCCACCCTCCCCGTGAAACACATCCCGCCTGCCCCAGGGAGCGCCAGCAGCTGCAGAGCAAAGCAGGGCACTGAGGGCGGGCGGGAGCCTGCTCTGCTCCAGGGTCTCTCTCATTTTCTGGAACAAAGCAGCCTGTTTTCATCAGGAAGCGGTTGGCAGCATCCCCTCCCCCAGAGATATGGGACCATCATCCAAGCTCGGCTTGTTTTCATAGGCCTTTTTCTCTTGAATAGGCCAAGACAAGCAATAGGCAAAGGCGGTCACGTGGACGGCAGTTTAATGAAGAACATATAAAAACTAGGAACAGAGGGAACGCAATGGGACGAGGAGACGCCAGAAGGGAAAAGATGCAGAAGTAAGAAATGAGCAGAGATTTTCCATGGACAAAGGCCAAAAAGCAGGCGTGATCATAAACAACCACATCGCCTGTTTTCTGTACGCGGAGAAACGTGTTAGAAATAGACTTATCTGATTTCCTTTATGGGTTGGAGTATTTAATACTGGTCCCCTTACACAAACCCGGATGATTTTACACGGGTGCTAAGAGAGGTTTCATTCCGAAATGACCCTGTCGATCTGAGCTTGTGTTTAGATAGAGGCGCAGATCGGAGAAAGTATTGAAGTTTTTGGAAATAAAACCCCTGAGCTCAGGAAATCTGCATGGAGATGAAGCTGCGGGCAGAGCAATCGCCTCCCCAGGGCTCACCGGGGCAGTGCCCAGCGCAGGGCCCCCGTTC